ATTAGAATTTTTTACTTGAAAATGTGCCATCGTTAGTTTTAATTATATAATGTAATTAATCGTTACTCTTCACTATGCTTAGTGTATAATGAGACCATTCGAGCTATGTTATTTAATCATATGAATAACAGCGACAAGCATCTAATTACGATTCATGACGTTGAATGGTAGAATGTCTTATATGAATTCGATTGATATTAAAACAAAGTCTCATTTGTGTAATGAATCAGAGATATATGAAGATCCAGATGAACATCATGCTCCATACAAACTTATGTTTCTCTTTTTCATCCTGTTTATTGGTTGTACGTAATTTTCCGTTCTCGTTTTTGATAATGTGTGTTTTTTTAAACAAAAGGTCTTTTCAAAACAATATTTGTTTCTTTACGTGTTCCATATGCTGGTCTCATTATATTAATTGGTTTTATAGGCGGTATTCTCTTCAATATTTTTACTAAAGATGATACATTTCTTACTATAACAACATCATCACCTGATCTAGTTGTTGGCATTTTTCTACCTGCATTAGTTTTCGAATCAGCATATCGTATTGAATATCATGCATTCATGAAATCACTCTATTCCATTCTACTTTTCTCAATTGTTGGTTACTTTATATCATTATTTAGTATTTCTACATTGAATAAATGTCTATTTCTTTTTCAACAATGGACTTTTCTTCAATGTTTAATATTGGGTATTATTCTAAGTGCTACTAGACCTATAACACTTATGCGTCAAGCAGGTTTATCATTAAGCTTTCTGTTTTTTTATACCGTTTATGTTTATAATACTAACCCGAATTTGATTTAGATAGACTATGGGAAAACAAAACGATTGAGTATTATACTCGAAGGCGAAGCAATAATCAATAACAGTCTAGCAATTATCTTATTTAATGCTATCAAAAGTTTTGTTGTTGATGATCAATTGTGGCATAGTATGTTACAATTTTAGTTTAAGAAGAATGAATACCTATATGATTGTATTTTAGCATTCAAATTTTTTAAAACAGCAGTTGTAGCTTTAGTAGGCGGTATTGGTTTTGGTGGCATGGCTGGCATATTGGAAATTATCTGTTTACCTCATTTTTATGATGATCCCATTAGTGAAGTTACCATAACTACTGCTATCCCTTATATGCTTTATTGGTTATGTAAGTGTTGTATATATATAAGATATAAAGATTCTTTTACGACAATAATATATCTTCACAGTTGAAAGTTCTAAAAAAAAACACATACAAGTAATAATGAAATTTTCTATTCGAAATTTTGATAGGTGAACAATTATACTCTTCTGGTATTATTGCCATTGTTGTTCTTGGTCTTATATTATCAAATCATAAAACTGCACTTAGTTCGGAAGCAGCTATTTTTATGGAAAAGTATATTGTTTAAAATAGAATTCAATTTATACGATATGCCCATTTGACTTTATTTATTCTAATAGATTTTGGGATATGTTAGCATTAATTGGCAATACAATTATTTATATTCTCACAGCATTGGTATTCAAATATATTTTCTTTCTATTGAACAATAATCATACAACAAAAGAATATTTTTTAGACTATTGCCGAATTGATTAAGCCGAATCTACGGGCTTTATTCACAGATAAAACCATTTTTCTTGAAATCGGACTCGCTAGTAAGTCTTCGATATATCTACTCTAATGAATATACTGAGCTCAAGATATTTGGCTACCAGCATGTCATAAGAACTTTTAGCTGCTTTACGGGTTTTTAACATTTTCCTACAAAATGCCTCTATAAGTTTAGATTACTAACTTGTTAGAAATTTTTTTATAAAATACTCTAGAATCAAGATGGCTACTTATTAAGCACCCATGTACTGAGAGAATTCTCAGTAGGATATTCAACCAAAATTCTGTAACACACTAGTAACAGAGTATTCGAGAAGGTACTCTGCTATCATCTGACTCAATACATTCACTACAATACGAATCAAATCATTTTTTTTTTGTTTAGTTATCAATTATTTAATTTGTTATATTGTCAGGTATCTCAATAGTATCTGCAAAATAGAATTTGTTTATATTGTTCATTATAGATTTGTCATGATAATCATATTAACACTATGTATTAATTTATTTCGTAACTGTCATTTATCATGGAAAGAATGTTTCCTAGCTACTTGGGGTGATTTTAAAGGATCAATATGTTTAATTCTTTGTCTTGCACTTAAAGGTGAATTTCAACTTGCTAATAAACAATTAATTCATCATGCTTCATCAAAGTTTAAAGTAAAAAAATAAAAACGTTTTCTTTTATCTGTTAGAAAAACAAAACGAAATTTATTTAGTATCAAATTTTGATATATACAACTATTATTGTCTTTCTTTCCAGTTGTATGAATTCTACTTATTCACTTTTACTCAAAATATTAAGTAAATATATCTTTCACAAACTATATATTCATAATTTTCTATAAAAAAAAAAAAAAGATTTTACAAAAATGTCTGAAACAAAATATCTTTATATGGCACAATGCGTAGATTCATTACGTACTCTTGTCAAAGAAAAAATTTGTTTATTAAAAAAGAATAAATATTTAGCTAATGCTGATTGGATTTTCATTGAAGAAAATTTTCACATTGAAAATCCTCATACTATGAAAATGATCAATAATGACAGTAGAGATATCAATTTAATTGATCATAATATAAAATGTTCTATTTGTCATCGACCAATATCAATGGAATTTAATCAAATACAATATGATGATGTATTTGAAGAAGCTAGAATTCGTATTATTAATATTCAAAAAGTTAGTGTGTTATTCTAATGTTGTTAGAATTTGTATTGTACTTTAGACAAGCTTCTGGAGACAATATCGAGATTATGAAATTTCAACACAAGCTGTTCGTATTTTATCATCTCTTTGTGATTTTGCAATCGATAGCGAAGGTCAATATATTAGTATTGATCAACTCAAATATTATTATAAGTAAGAATATTTTAAATTGATTTGTTTGTTTGAAAGAAAAAAAAACAAAACATGCATTTTTTAGACCACGAACTATTGATTTTATATGGAAATATTTGGTAAGAAAGAGAAATATAGATTTTCTCAATCAGAAAGTCGAATTTCGAATGTCAATTTAAATATACCACCTCATTAAATTTTTTCAAGAGATCATCAGTTGAAAAATTACATATTTGTATTCGAAATGATTGGGGAAAATATCAAAAGATGCCCAGAAATAAATGGCGATTATTTTATTTCAATATTCTTAATCATACACGATTCAATTTATTTATCATATTTGTTATTCTTTTTAATGTTTGTACTTTCAAATCATGTTTTATTTCAAAATATAATTATCTTTTAGATAACATTAGCAATCATTCGATGTTCTGTAAATATATCAAATAAAATTAATCTAATGCTAACTATCATTCAAAGTATCTGTATTATTGTTTACCTATTGGAATTTATCATCAAGGTTAATTTTTGCATTTAACAATGAGTCGAAAACTAATAAGATAAAATATTCATTTATGCGTTAAGCTTTTTACAGCGTTTGCAGAAATTTGAAAAGATTGAGTTAAAATCAGAATTTTGTGTTCTTTTCGAATATGCCTTCGAATTTTTTTTTAAAACTTTTGGCGTATGATTTATGAGACGACATTTTTGAGATCCATAAATCAAGTTTAGATGCAGAAAATTGACGTTCTTTACTGATACAGTCTTCTTCACGGCATACACTATATTACCGACTTTTGTTGCATATAGTTAAAAATAAAATTTTCTTCTACAAGGCGACATCAGAATCAAGAATATTAGGACAATTGTTCAGAAATGGCCAAGCTCACTTCACAATATTACAATATTTATTTTCCATAGAAATTGAGAAGATTGCCTAATCTGCCACGACGTTTCTTTTTACCAAAACATTCGCTGTTAACAAATTACTTCAAGCTAATCGATCATTAATATACTATATTATTAAAAAATGTTTGCTCTTTCATTTGCTGTATTTAAAATAATTTTTGTACCTTTAAAAACGTCAGCTTATAACTTCTAGATTAGAAGTTCTAGAAAAAAATTTTGAACTTATATTCGAAAAGAACACAAAAGTTTGATTGACATTCAATGTTTTCAAATATTCGTCAGCATCTTAAAAAAGCTGATTATTTTTCGATCACTCATCATTGTGAAACACGATTTAAAAGGTGTATTAAAGTATATGAGATAAAAATTTGCAGTCTGTCTCCTTGCAGACCGAGACAGACGTTATTGACATACGATCATAGTGAAGAAATCTATCTCAAGATAGATAGAATAAAACAATCTTCTTGTGATTAGCCATAGCGATTACATTGTGTTTTATATTTTAATCGCGTAGGAATTGTGTAGAGAAATTTTTAAATATATCTATCCTTTTTAACATAGATTTATACATTTGGTATTCAAATATATTTTCGAACATGGATTGATTATCGAATTGAATTTATTCTGTTGATATTAGTAGTAGTTGAATGTATTTTTGAATATTATTATCGTATCTCTACTAAGTTTATTTCTCATCAAACTTGGTCTATTATGCAAATTTTGGTTATTATTCAAATAATTCGTCTTATTCGAACAATAGAAGTATGAATTTATATTTTCGATAATAAATTTCTAAATTTTCTTCTTCAGTATATCATAGCTAATTTAAATATTCTTCTTGAACGTATAGCTAATCGTTATGTAACACTCTCACTTGAATTATGTAAAGCATATATATTAAGTGAAGATGATGTACTTTCAAAATTACATCGTGTTATTGAAATTGATCAAATTCGAGAACATTTTCATAAAGATTCAATAAGACGACGAGATGAAATTATTAATGAATTAAGTAAAATTTTAAAAATTTAAAACAATAATAGAAAAACAATATTTCAATTTAGCTTTTATTCAAAGTGAACATCCAAATGTATCAGCAAGTGTGAAAACGCGTGCAGCTATACAAAAATTACTTAATTATTCAAAAAATATAGTTATTGTTTAATTGATTTCTTTTTATTTTTTTTTTGTAGTTTTATCTATTTTTTCTTGATTAGATTCATCATATGACAAATAAAGGATTATTAGGAGAAAATGAAGCTCATCGAATTACAGAGGTTTCTTGTTTCTTTATTGATATATAAATAGTTTAGTGTTATATTTAGAATATTAATAAACGTCTTCATACAGAACTTGTACCATCTGTTTTATTCTTTCCTATTCCAGTGAGTTTGATCTATATAAAATTTCACAATTCCTATTGATTGTAGTTCAATTTTTTACATGTATTTCCATGGCTTCATGATCCTGATGTACTTGAATATGTATTGAGTCATCTTCATGTTAAATCATTTTCATTAAATGAATATATTTATAAAGTAAATAATGATTCTCAAGCATTATTTTTTATTACAGCTGGTTATGTCGAAGTATGAATATGTTTTTTGTTTTTCTAAAAATCATATTTTATCTTTAAATATTTCAATAGACAATAAGAAATATGCCAAAATATCATGATGCTTTATCAATTGAAAAATTTCATAAAAATAAAGAAAATAATTCATCTGAAGATATAAAATTAAAAAAAGATTCATTTACTTTTAATTCAAAATCAAATTATTATCAAAAACAATCTTATGAAATTAATTCAATAAATGAATCTCAAACTAATCATCATCTTTGTCATCAATGTTATGTTGATGTTCAAAAAATCGATATCATTGATAAGAATGCTTTATTAAATGAAGATCTATTTCAATGGTCTGATATTGACTCTGAACAAAAATATTTATTCTTTGATAATACAAAAAAATTATTAAATGTTAATGAAAGTATTCTTTCTCAGCTTAATATAAATGATTCTATACTCGATTTTTTTCCAACAAAAGAATCAACTACAGTCTATCGATTGTTATATGCACCAGGTGATGTTATTGGTCATATTGATTTACTCAATGGACAAAAGTATACAGAAACATGTAAATGTATTACAAATACTCTTGTAAGAGAATGAAATTTATATAAACAAATAAAATATAAAATTGATAAATTTTAGGTTTGGTATTTAAAATCAAACGATCTGATTGTTCTTATTGAACGTTTTAAACATTTAAAGATCTTAGAAAAAATATGGCATTATAGTGCATTACAATTAGCTGAAGGTGTTTTGTATGAATATTTAAATATAGTGGTTTGTTAGATATTCAGTATAACTTTGAAGTATTTTAAATAAAATTATTTCAGCCATACGATGCAACAGAACAAGAACGTTTTCATATTTATGGTCATTTAAAACATGCATTTCTTATACCTGAATCATATTTAATTGAACACAAAATAATCTATTCATCACATGAACTTATTCTTATACAAGGTATATATAAGCTAATATAGGCATGTGTCAGAGTCGGAGTTGACTTTTTAATTGAAAAGACAATTAGTTGGCTGTACAATTTTCAAGTTTATTAATTATTTTTAAAATGTAATAACGTAAAATTGTTATGTATCAATTGAAACTAAATAATTTTCCACTGATGAAAAGTTTTCTAAATGGATTCAACTAGGATGTGTATCTATATGTACCGATACTGAAGAGTTTATGACGAAGAGAAGGCTTTTTTCTCTATCAAAAACCTCAGACCGTACGAAACTTTCATTGTGAATAGTTCAATTTTGTCTCCTCCAGATGTACGTACAACTGTACAGACTAATCATATTTTAAAAAAGCCAAGTATGAGTCAAAATTTTCATTTTTACAATCGTTCACCGACACTTGACCTTTTCTCTCAGCGTGATCGATATGCTCAGTTGCATATACACATCTCAATGAAACTAAACTGAATTACCTATAAAAAAAGTCAAATAGAATCTCAGAGGTTCTTGGAAGAGAATAAATGTCATCGTTGTCAGTAATTCTTTAGCTTCAGTACATGTTTGCACACGCACCATAATTAAATTCATGTAGAATATTTTTAACTAGTTGAAAATTATTTAGTTGTAATGAGTTCATAGAATTGTACGTTTCTATATCTTAAAGTCAACTTCAACAAATGTTTCACAACGTTGATGAAATATTTTGCGTTTTTGAATTAGAAATTTCTTTATTTTTGTTTAGGTCAATTAGAAAATATTATTTCATCATTGATTTATACTGGACCATGTTTTATACAAATTGAATTTGGTCAATATGGTCTTAAACCACTGGTAAGCATAATGACTAATTTATTTATGAAAAAAAAAAATACTGAATAATTTTGATTTATGTTAAAGAATATAAGTGAAACTAAAATACTGGTTCTTCGAAATTCTCATTATCATGATACACTTAATGATGAATTTGTTTTACCATTAGATTTACCAGGTTTATTAACACATATTATTTATGATGAAAAATTGGACATTCTTTTACCTCGTAGTAGTATTAAATATGAACATGTAAATATAATAGATTATGATAATCAATAGAATGTGTATGTTTGTGTTTTCTAGATCGTTACACAATCTAATATTGATCAATCTTCAAAAGAAATGACCAAGAAAACATTATTAGGTCGATTTTTAGAAAGTCTACCAAAATTTCAACGACGTATTATGAACCCATAGCTATTGACAAATGTATATTGATAATCATTCTTTGAACTTGTTAACGTTGTTTGATATTTTCACCATTAAAATATGAATGATTCTCTATCAATTTCAAGTCATGTTTTATTCAATACAGTCCTATTCTAGTGACATCTTAATAGAGGTCTATTAAAGATGAAATCTCTATCTACCAATGAAATACTTCTTCTAGTCGTACGTACATCGGGTTTTTTCTGTCTGATTGAAAAAAAAACAATCTCTGTATACGCATCTATACCATATGTTGTCGTTTTGTATCATATCATCATATGATTTTATTTCTATTGATACTAGCGACAAGACCCTTTTATAATAGTGAATATGTTTGCGGTTAGATATTTTTATCTCAAATATGTTTGTAAAACTTTATTCAATTAAATTTCATCGATATATTTGATTGTATTATATTATTTAGATTTATTTGAAATGTATTTATCATCATATAGTGATGATAACTCAAATAAATCGATCATCACATTAGATACTTTATTAAAACATACAATATGTTCTTTTGTTCGTTCTCAAGTACTGTTTGCTGCCATACGACTCAATTTATTCACTATGATTGATGAATCGCCAACTGGTTCATTATCATATGAAGAAATGAAAAAATCTAATATATCATTATCAATGTTATCCTATCTTGTTTATCTTCGTTTACTTAAACAATGTTCAAATTCAAATCGTTATGAATGTACACATACTACACGTATATATCTTGTTTTATCACGTCAAAATTATGTTGGTTTAGGTATTGGTGTTTGGGATCATCGTCGTCAATATACATTTTTTCTTCATCTTAGTGATACATTAAAATATGGTACAAGAATAAGTGAAGATTGTAATGAACAATTATGTCTTTGGTCAATATTTGAACAAAAACATGATCCAATGATTTATTTTGCACGTACAATGTCATCATTTACTCGTTGTACAATAAATGAATTATGTAATCATGTTGATTTTTCATCATATTCAACATTACTTGATATTGGTGGTTCATTAGGTGATCTTAGTCGAACAATTATTAAACGATATCCACATATAAATGCATTTAGTTTTGATTTACCTGAACTAACTTGTTATGCTTCATCAGAAAATAATGATCATTCAAATATTCATTATGTAGCTGGTGATTTTTTTGAAGAAGAATGGCCAAATAAAATAATTGAAAATATAAAAAATATTGATCTTGTTTCTCTTAAATTTATTCTTCATGATTGGTCATATGATCGACGTGAAGTTTTAATTGAAAAAATTTATAAATTATTAAAAACTAAAATTCAACTAAGTAGTGGTAATGGTACATTATTAGTTATTGAAAAAATGATTGATAAAGATCGTCAAAATATAACAACATTATCTACAAGTGTATCAATGGCAGTTGAATGTGGTGATGGTATTGGATATGATACAACACAGAATGAATATGAACAGTTATTATTTCAAGCCGGTTTTCAACGTATACAAAGTATACTATTAACTGGTCCAATGGTGGCTCTATTTGCTCATGTCATATAATTATTCTACGGTGCAATGTTTTTTTTATTTTTTTGGTAGTATTTTTTGGCATTTTGTTATATTTCATATAATAGTAGTTATTAATTTCCATGGTGAATGTAAACTTCCTTTTTTGTTAATATTTGGAATAAAAATATAATCGAGCATTATATTTTAATATATTATATTCTTTTAGTTATTGTTTTTTTTCGAATAATTCGCTGTTTCAGATGTCATTTTTACTTTGCCAAGTACAAAGAAGTCTTCGGCTGAATATGTTTACGAATCAGGTATAAATGTTGATCATAGGATTGTTAGAAAATAAAAATATCACATATGTATTTAATACTAGAGAAGATAAGAAAATAAAACATTGTTTTTTCATTCTTTCTCTTACAAGGATATATCTTCCAAGTGTGAGTCTTCGTTTTCGATCAACTTTATGCCAATTTGTAGAGCTTGATGAGCTGATTACGAAAGAACAAAACCTTCTTCTTACATTATCTTTGATAAGTTCTGTCGATCTCAATATTAGAAAAATGACTGTCAGTTATTAATATCTACAGTATTAACATGAATGGAAGTTTTAACTATGTTTATAATTTGAATATTTCAGTACTACCATTGCTGCGAATCAGAGATGCTCTCACAAACTGTAAAAAAAAAGTTGTTTGTCATGTTGATCTGAAACAGAACAGACTACGGTAGCACATAGTACAGGCCGAGACACGATAAGATCTTCATATCTGGCGACTTTGAACATCAAGTTTCTGAGTGTCCACAAAAAGCGTTTATTTGGGTCTTAGTGAATCAAAAATCGAAAATAGGTTACAGAGGACGGTACCAGCTAGTACTTAGAGTTGTCCTCTAGTTGTACTGTTAGTTATTAACATTGTAAAATAGATTTAAATAAAATAATTTTCTATGATAAACTAAAACATTTAATAAGAGAGCATATCGATCCTATAGAGTACTCTAACCTGCCCTACTCGATCCAGTGAAGTGGAGCAGGGCAGGGCAAGACAGATCAAGGCAAGCTGTAAAAATTCATTGTGTAAGTAACTCTATTGTAAATATATATCATATTAAAAATAAATATTGATCATGTTCTAATTATCTTCCTTATGCTTAATGCTTTTTGCATTAACCTACAAGAAAACAACTAAATAGAATATCGACTATTGAAAATGAAGTATCTGACAAGGTTTTAATGACTATGTCGTTAAAATAGTGTTCTCCTAGAGAATTTTGATCAGTTTTGAAAAAAATAGTTGAATTTCATGCATTCACAGTATTGTTGATACTGAAATATTTCATTTATAAACATAGCCAAGATTTCTATTTATATTGATTGTATAGCTTGTACAATAACAATTACAGCATATCCACTGTTAAAACTTTGAATGCTGAGAACTTAAGTAATATTAAATATAAAATTTCTGAAATAATAGCTCCCAGTTAATCTTTTTTGCATTTAAGATCGACCGAATGCCTCAAAGACAATCTATCAAGTGAATTACTTTATGGTATTGTACTCAGCTTATTAAACTGTACAAATGAGCATAAAGTCGATTGAAAATGGAAAGTCATATTTGGGAATTTTCTCTCGTTAGTTTCGTTACTTCAAGTCTTGCACTAATTTCTTATTCGTAAACATAACATTATTTTTCTCGTTTCAATGATGACCTTTGTTTTAATTGTTGACGAAATATTCTAACGATAACAATGTTTTATTTAGCAGTATTTTCTTTAGTTTTTTTTCTTGATTAAATGTATTCAACAAGTAATAAAAGGCACAGATTCATTGAGAAGTTAGTATTTAGATTCTGAACAGAAAACTTTGGATAAGCTTTAAGTTGAATAAATTATTTACAGTTGATTTTCTAATCTATTTTGAATTTATTGAATAGCTACCTCTTCTGACACCTCTTACTGGTATAATCAATATTGATCAACCATCACGTACTAAACTCGTTGGTTATCCAGGTCGAATGATGTTAAGAGATATAAAACGACGTACACTTATTCGAAAATATTGGCCTGAACGATTTCGATACCAAACATTACGTAAAAATATGATTTTTCCAGATTCATTCAAAGTAAAAATGAGTTCTTTTTTTTTTCGATGAAACTCAAATATTTTTCTTTTGTTTATTATAGAATTATTGTCGAGAAGAAGAATTTTCAACATTTACAAATGAAACTCAACCTTGGTGGAGATGGAATCGATGTGCTTTAACGTAAATATATTATTTTAATTGTAACTTGATACAAAGAAAAAAAACCACTTTGTTTTTCAATAATTTTAGATCTCGTCAATGGGGTGTTATTGAACAATATCGTCTTGGTCGTATAATGTGGCGTCGTTTTGCTGATTATAATCAAATGTCAGGTGTTATTCGTTCAACATTCGATCGATATACAAGACAAAATACTGAAATGATGAGTCGTAGACGGCGAATTATTCGCGAAGATCCCTAGATATATTTCATTCTTTTTGTATTTTTTTTTCTCTTTTCTGCGCTTGTTTTTTTTTGTTAAACATACAATCCTGTGTCGACACATGCATGTTGACGCTGACGAGAAAGAAACTTTTTTAATCATACACTCATACAGAAGATGATGCAATTGAATGTAAGACATGAAATCTTTCTTGGAAAGTAAAACTCATGTGATACTTATATCTATTGACAATAAGTTCGTTTTTCTGAGATAATAAAACGCTTGTATACGTTAGTAATTTCGCAATCGTATTTAAAATGGGAAAAATCTCATTCAATGACATGTAAGAGGACAGCATTAAACTTGATCAGCTTTTTCCCTTGTTACAAACATTGCTTTTGATTTCTATGTCGTATATAATATAAATTATTCATACATATTTTCATATCAAATTCATTTAAACTACATCTATTTCTAAACTAAGATTTTTATTTCAGATGTCTAATCAGGACCCTATATCGACGAATGACAGACGATCAGAATTCAATTATAATAAAGTAAATTTAATCTAAAAAAAAATCTTATTATTCATTCATTTATTGAAATATAGATCAATCAACATGTGACAAGTCTTTTTGGCCCAAGCGATGATGAAGATGATAATGAACAAGTATCTCGTTCACCATTCATCCTTACTGGATTACCACCGGAGGTTTGTTTGTCTTTTTTTTTTTTGTAATGGAAAAATTTCAATTGAAATATTTTCGTTTTGTTTTTTTCTTAGCCTCAAGAAGGTAATATTGAATATAAACTTAAATTAGTTGATCCAAATCCATTTCGTCTTGAACATTTGATAACTCAAATGAATTGGCGTTTACAAGAAGGACAAGGTGAAGCTTTATATGAAATTGGTGTCGAAGATTGTGGTACATTAAGTGGTGTTAGTAGTGAAGAATTAGAAGCATCATTAGCAACATTAAAAAAAATGGCTGATAGATTAGGTGCATCAATAACAATACTTCATGAACGTAAATTAG